GCCTGAACTCTGGGCCTGGGTGCTGTCCCTCAGCTCTTTAGCTCAAGGCTAGCACTCTACCACTTGAGCCACAGCACCACTTCCGGCTTTTTTCTTTCTGCTTATGTGGTGCTGAGTAATCGAACCCAGGACCTCATGCGTGCAAGGCAAGCGCTCTACCACTGAGCCACCTTCCCAGCCCAAGAAAAAGTATTTTAAGGACAAATATGAAATACTGTAATAACAAAAAGTTCAATTGGCCAGTAGGCTATAACAATTCTAGAGTTGAATATATCTAATAAAAGTCTTAGTCTACATAAATAATAAAATAAGCACAGAAAAAAATTACACATCTCACTACAGAGGGAAATTTCAACATATTTCTTTTCCTTTTTTTTTCTGTTGGTCATGGGTCTGGGCCTGGGTGCTGCCCCTGAGCTCTTCAGCTCCAGGCTAGCGTTCAACCACTTGAGCCACAGCACCACTTTGTTTTTCTAGTGGTTTATGAGAGATTAGAGTTTCACAGATGTTCCTGATTGGGCTGGCTTTGAGCTGCGATCCTCAGATCTCAGCCCCCTGAGTAGCTAGGATTACAGGCATGAACCACCAGTACTTGGCATCAACATTACTTCTTGTAGTAACAGATATGTTAAGCACATGAGAACACTAGTAAGGTCACAAAGATTTGAACGCTATCAGTAGTAAGCGTCATCTGATCATCATGGTTAATGAATTCAATAATTGGAAAATACATCTTTTTCTTAAGGACACAAGAAACAATTGGGCATGAGCAATACAATAAGCAAATTTCAAAGCCATGAAGATTTCAACAAGTTTGGGTTCTGGTTTTGGTTTTTCCTGTGTCAGTGCTAGTTCCACCTACAGTATGGTGGGTGGCTGTCATGGCAGGGCCAAGCTTCCAGGATGTCATGCAGACAAAGGCCAGTAGGTGGACCCTCCTCTTCAGCACGGCTCTGTGGGGATGGCAAAGTATCTACCTGCTTCCTTCTCTTTCATTATCACACACACACACACACACACACACACACACACACACACACACACACACACACACA